AACCTGTGGTTCAAGCCATACGGTTTTCCAGGAACCATCAGGACAGATCCCGGAACAAACTACGGCCTCCACTTCAAGCAGTACGTGGAACGGCATGGGATCTGGCTGGAGATCATTCCAGCTGAAGCACACTGGCGCATCGGCCTCATCGAGCGCCGCAACAGCGTCTTAAGGGACATCTTTGAGCGCATCATCGACGCAGAGTCCATCTTCAATGTCAACGACTTTGACCAAGCCCTGGACTCAGCAGTCTTCGCACTCAACAGCATGACATACACACACGGCAGACCGCCATACATGGCAGTCTTCGGGCAGATACCACGCATAGGAGCAGGACTCCTACAAGACGACACAGCACTCATCTGCCATCCAGATCAACAAGGGATGGTAAGACCCGACATCCTCAGAGCAGAAGCCATCAAAGCACTTGCTGACATCAACACCAGCCAAGCCTTGCGGAGAGCACTACTCTGGAAGACAGCAACCACACATGCAATGGACCTCCAGCCCGGGCAGAACTGCGCCTACTGGAGGTGGCAGGTCCCAAAGGGACGTTCGACAAAGAAGAAAGGAGCCTGGATCGTCGCGAGATTCCTCTCATACGATCCCGACGGCAAGTCGGCATGGCTTCACAGCGGAACAACAACAGTACATGTGGCACTCGAGCAACTTCGCGGAGCAGTTGGTTTTGAACAATGGCAGCCAACCCGCGAAGACCAACAGATGCTGAAGCAAGCAGCAAACAACATCCGCCAAGACCTTTGGCAGGAGCACGCAACAACAGCACCAGCACTGGAGGAAGACACCTATGAGTACCACATGGACGACCTGGAGAACACCGACATCGCAGCAGCTGGAGCAGGCACGACAGAGGAAACCACAGTGGCACTACCTCTCGCACCACCTCCAGCAACAGCTACGACCACAGAAGAGACGAAAACTGGAGATGAACAACCGACAACAGTGCAAGTGCAGCAGCAGCATATGGAACAACACTTGCAGCAGCAGCACAGCACAACAACGAACCTTCGGCTAGGAGATGTCCACTTTCACTCCTACCCGACGTCACCGGCCCAGAGACAAGTGACACCTCTGGACTATCACACACAGCGTTTTGGACTCACACGCTCAGCACGGTCCAGAACACCGACAAACAGGAGACTGACACCCAGAGGAGATGGCAACCGGACACCCGGAACTCCTCGTGCATCAGCCTCCACAGCAAGGCAGTGGCCAGACACAGTGCCACAAACACCACCAGTGGGGTATACACCGCCCACTGCACAAACGCAAGCCGTGGATGCACCACCGGCAGAAGTCCAAACGGACACACAACAGGCATCACAGAGTGCCAACGTGGCAGAGCCCGCATCAGGCTCAAACACCACGATCTACTCAAGCCCACCAGCAAGCTCAACAGGAGACCACACTGCAGCCGCATCACAGCAGCCGCAAACAGAACAACCGAGCAACACAACCTTGCCTACGCTTCCACAGAAGCGGACACACGAGGCAATGCTCACGCTCCTGTACGACAGCATCGCACCGCCGCACTACACCTGGGACGGCTCCCCAGACACGCAACATTATGCAGGAGAACACTGCACACAGTTTGCTGAAGCAGCACTCGGCATCCTTCAACAAGAAGGACACGCAGTACTCCTCACGGATCTCACCGATCCAGCCGAAGACACAGAGGCAGAGTCCTCAGACCCAGACCAACCGGTCGACCCAGCTTCAAGGCTCAACACTCGTAAGGAGGCCAAAGCCTTGGAAAGAGAAATCCCTTGGCGACAGATCCTCAAGCTTCCCAAGGAAGAGATCGCAGCCTATGTGCAGTCCGCCAAGAAGGAGGAGAAAGGCTGGATGGACTGGGGATCAGTCGAAGCAGTTGATGATGATGAAGCTGCATCCATCCTCTCAAACCCAGTCAAAAGAAGAAGGGTGCTGCGCAGCCGCGCCTGCTACCGGAACAAGAGCCGTGTGCCCGGCTCGCTGATCGCCAAGACCAGGGTGGTAGCTTTGGGCCACCTAGATCCTGACTTGCACCGGATCTCAAGAGACTCACCAACTCCCATGCGAGTCTCAGAGCACATCTTGCTCTGCATCTTCGTGGCCGGCATCAACCGGTCTATGGAAGGAGATCCCGTGGACTGGATCCTTTGGGCAGAAGATGTCTCCACAGCCTTCGTGCAGGGGACCTTCGAAGAGAATGAACGACCAGAAGCACTCTACCTCCTGCCGCCCAGAGACCAGATAACCATCATGGCCCAGACCTTTCAGGCCAAGCTCTACAGAGTGCTCAAGAACATCTATGGCCTCGCCTCAGCACCAAGGACATGGTTCAAAGAAGTGGTGCGTCGAATGCAGAGCATCGACTTCGTCCAGCACCACCTCGACAGAATGCTCTTCTATAAGAGGGTCAACGGACGGCTCATGGCAGCTTGCATCGTCTACGTCGACGACTTCCTACTGACCTGCCGGACCGACTACCGGAAGGAGGAGCTACTGGAACTCTTCAGCTGGGGAAGCCAGAAGCAGCTGAGCATCGAGCAACCCCTGGAGTTCAAAGGCAAAGAGCTGATCCTAAAGAGCAGTGACAAGGCCTTCCACCTGCACGTCACCCAGACCAAGTTCATAGACAACACCGACGGTGGCAAACTGGCAAAAGGCCGCATCGGCCAAGGAGGAACTTTGACCTCGGCCGAGCAAGCTGAGTTCAGATCCGTGACAGGATCATTGCAGTGGCTAGCAAGCCAAACGAGGCCAGAAATTGCTGCATGGGTCTCGCTAGCAAACAAAGGAGGAGAAACCTCTCCCGCCGACCTAAGCTCCCTCTACGAGACGCTGGAGTTTTGCCGCGAGACCAAGCACCTCGGCTTAACCTTCCAGGACGTGCCGATTAACCGCTCCACGGTCGTCCTGGGATATGCTGACGCTTCATGGGCAAATGCCCAGCAGTGCTCCTCACAGCAGGGATGCATCATCATGCTGACCTCTCCGCATTGCACGGAGGCCAACACCAAGGCCAACGTCATCGACTGGCGCAGCAACCGCTCCACCAGAGTGTGCAGGAGCACATTGGCCAGTGAGGCCATGTCATGTGATGACTCAGTGGACCGAGCCTACTTTGCCAGCTTGGTCCTCAGCGAGCTTTTGAGTGGTGACATTCCCACCAAGGACATGAAGTCCTGGCGCCTCGAGCAATTGCAGGTGACAGACGGCAAAAGCCTCTTCGACGCAATCAGCGCCGAGCATCCCAAAACAACAGAGAAAAGAACATACATCGACATCCGGAGCATCCAGCAGTTCATCAGCCCCCGGACGATTCGATGGTGCCCTACAACGGTCATGTGGGCTGACGGCGTGACCAAAGCGGCAAAGCAGCTGCGGCAGAGCTTGCGAGAGTGGCTGAATTCACCTTTTAGCCAACTGGTGAAACCTTCAGGAAAAGAAAAGAGAACGAATGAGAGTTTGAAACTGCACAGTCCTTTCAGCATACAAGGTTCCTGAAGGTCTCACACCAGCCTTTTGACACGACCCCGCACGACAAGGTGCACCTTCGGCCCAAATTTGCCTTCGAAAAGGCTGCGCGTCCTCACGCACACGTGCTGCCTAGGCTTAATGTTGACGCTTGATTAGTAATTCCCTCAGTTGAATGCTCTCACTTGCGGTCGTCCGTCCGCGTCCACGCGACCCCTTGTCATATGTTATGACGGGTTTCGGTGGGTGTCTGATGGTGAAAAGGGCTATGAACAGAGGTAGGTAACCTGTACAAAAAGTCGGTGAAACCGAACAGCACGAACTGGCAGATCGGCAGCATGCGGTTGGTTTCCTGTTCACCCCAAATGGATGAGGAGCACATATGGTGGGATGACGAGAGAGCGAGGGGGCATCAATGTTGTCAAGCAAGGCAGGCCCTCAAAATTGAAAGACCTCTTCATAGTGGGTGGTTTATTGATCAAAAGTCATTGGATCAATCCGCACAGTCAGGATTCCTCTCACATGGGGATGGCCCTGAATAGGGCCAAGGCTCCAATTGTTTCAGGTCAGGTAAGCCACACACCCACACTATACACATGCACCCGCACAGCAAAAATATGTAATGTTAAGCAGACGCTGATATGATACAACTAGGTCTGTCCTATTAGCTGTAACAGTCAGTAAACAATTATCACTATGTTTGGACAAGGCCTTTACTAACCATCATCATCATCCACTGTTACAGGTAAACAACTTTCATTGAACTCTATTTTGATTTCATGCTGACCACTAACAGCCAGGCACCTGTTAACACAACACCGGGTAAAGCACGAGCCTCACATAATATTGCTCGCTTTGCTTTGGCTGATCAATCGTTAGAGGCAGATCTTCATGGCAAAACATCCATGGGATCCCAAACAAAAACATTTAACCTCTGTCTCCTTTGGTTGGAAAAGCACAATTTCTTCCCATTTGGTGGCCAAAGGCACAGAATCCGACGTTCTGATTCGCTTGGGTGGCTGGGGGTTCGAGGATGGTACCCTGCTTTCCATGGTACCCCAAGTTGGCCAAAGGGATGGAAGCATATGCATTGATTGATTCGTTCTTGAGGCAAACCAGTCCGCCTTCCAGGAATTTCTCTAACGGTTGGAAGATAACAAAACAACCGTCTATTGTTCATCCAGCTGACCTCAATATCACATTTGAGCAGTTGGTTACCAACATTCGTTCGCATGTGCCGTGATGTCCTGGCAATTGGCACGAGTTGGGCCGCTAGTACGCATAGGCAGAGACTAGTCGTCCATAGGTTCAAAGCAAACCTGACTAAGATGGAAAGCGGAAAAAAATCCACTGTTACAGGTAATAGGATGGACCCAAGATATAACTATATTTGTATATATGCACAATGTATACACACACACACATACGCACCGTACACATTGAGGGGCTCCCCAAAGGTCCAACGCGCTCTCAGTGTTGATGTGGCTATTTGCCATTGTCAATGATTTGGCTTGCAGGTGTGGAAGCCCCGGTGCAAGTGGATGAGGAAGATGAACTCACGCGACTGAGAAGGGAGCGGAAAGCCCAGTTGCAGAAAGAGCAGATCTGGAAGAAACAAGGTCATGGCGCCTTGCGAGAACTCGCAGACGAGAAGGAGTTCGTCCAAAGCATTGCCCCGCATGAGCGGGCAGTGATGCTCTTAGATGATGGTGGCAGCGCGGCAGGCGAGGTCTGTCGGAAGGTTTTGGGTCGTTTGGCTTCAAAGCATTTGGAGGCGCAATTTTGTCTCTCAGTTGGGCATGAAGTTTGTTTTTTTGTATTTTTTGACGTTATATATATGTGAAAGCGGACATGGCACGGACCTATAAGCCAGTCTCCGCAGGAACCCTTAGTGCTCGGAAGGCAGAAAAGGGCGCCGCTGATATGCCCCGGGTGGGGCCTCCGCAGCTACATTGGTAGCGGAGCCCCACCCGGGGCACAAAAGAGCGGCCTAGGTAGACCGCGGCGACATGGCGTCAGCGTCTGAGGCCCAGGGCCTCAAGCGCTTTGGTGGGGAGGAAGAAGACCCTGGAAAACAGTTGAAAAAGTGGAAGACCTGGGCATGTGCGAAACTCATGACCTTCAAGGACATGCGCAAAGAACAGCGTGGTCCTTGGATCCTGACCTTGCTGGATGGCAAGGCATGGGACTCGGTGGAGCACCTGACTTTGGAACAAATAGCTTCGGCAGAAGGTGAGCAGTTGCTATGGAGCACATTGCAGGAGCGGTTCCCCGAGAAGGAGCAGCACGACGTGATGGGTGAAGTCCTCGGAGATGTCTTCGGACTAGTTGCCTCAGAAGGCGAGACAATGAAGATGTGGACAGCTCGGGTGAAGGAAGTCTTCGATGTCTGCAAGCGAAAAGCTTCAGTTGAGTTTCCTCCAGCCGCTCGAGGTTGGGTCGCCCTTCACTGTGCTGGCTTGAGTGAGGAGCAGAAGGCCATAGTGAAAGCAAAGACGCAAGGTAGTCTGGACCACGAGGCAGTGTCAGCAGCCTTGAGGTCGTGCTTCCCGCTGTACAAGGCAGCCGGAGGTCGCAAGAAAGCGACCGGGGTCTTCCAGGTGGAGCCTCTTGATGAGACAGAGAAGCAGGAACCAGATGATGACCACCAGTTCCAGGACGTCGAAGCGTTTTTGGCAGAACACGACGCTGCTCAAGCGTCGTTCACTGATGACGCGGTGTTTTCAGAGAGCGAGACTGCCGAGGCCCTTGCCGTGAGTTGGAAGGAGCGAAGAAAAGAGATTGCAAAGTTTCAGCAGTCGCGACAGTTTGGCTCAGCCTCCAGCATGCAGTCCAAGCGACAGTTCCGAGTGCAAGTGGAGGAGTTAAAGAAGAGGACAAGATGCCGCCGATGCGGCAAGATTGGACATTGGCAGAAGGAATGCAAGGAAACAGCAACGTCTTCCAGTACACCTGCAGTTGGTGCCAGCTATGTTGAAGTTGACTCACACGACACTCCTACTCCAGCCTTCGTTGGCTTGACGGAATGCCTCAGTGCTGTTGAGACTTTGGCGGCAAACTTGGTGTCGTCGCCAGGCTTCGGAGTGGTGGACTCAGGGTGTGGACGCACTCTGATAGGTCGTGAGACCTTGGCAGCTCTGGAACCAATGATCCAACAGAAAGGCTACGCAAAGCCGACTCGCTACCACTCCGAGAACACCTTCCGCTTTGGCAACGGAGCAGTGGAAAGCTCACAGCAGGCCGTCCGCATTCCTTGCGGAATTGGGCACCAGTACGGCATCATAGATGCAGCAGTCATCAGTGGCCATGCACCTCTCCTGTTGGGTCGACCGACCCTTGAGAAGTTGAAGGCACAGCTCGATTTCAGCAATGGCAAGATGGTCGTTTGTGGCAAAGAAACCTCCATGGTCACCAACCCCGCTGGGCAATTGCTAGTAGACGTTCTGGCCTTCCCGGTGAAGTGTGACCGTGAGAGCGCCTGCCATGCTGCAGAACCGTGCCTCGAGCCCAGTGCGCATCAACCCTCTGACCAGGCGGGGGGAATTAAAGGAAAACAGAAAACCAAAATCACATTGAAAAAGAAAGAATGTCGATGTTTGCTTGCTCAGAGTCACCAAGCAGAAGCTCGAACTCGATCGAAAGTGTTGGTGGCAGAGTTGTTTTCACCGCCTCGTTTTTCCCTTGCAGCCGAGCAGCTTGGTCACAAAGGATTGTCCTTTGATATTAAGCAGGGTTGGGATTTGGAAGATGCAAAAACCCAAAAACAAGTCGATAAGATGTTGGAAGAACAGTGTCCCGCCCTCCTAGTGGTGAGCCCAGAATGCAGACACAGAGGTGGCTGGGACCATCTCAATCGCCGCTATCGAACACCACTTGAGCAAGCACGCCTGATTCAGCGCTCCCGCAGACAGATTTTGTTTTGCAAGCAGCAAGTTGTCAAGCAGATCAAACGGGGTGGAGAATTTTTGTGGGAACACCCCCTTGGATCCGAAATCTGGGAAGAAACGGAAGTGAAACCCCTGAAAAGGAAATATGGGTTGAAACGAGTTGACATGTGTGCATACGGTTTGAAGTGCCCAGACTCATGTATGCCGATCCACAAGCCCACAGGTCTGCTTGTTTCTTCAGGCCCGCATCATGACTTGAGCCACATTAAGACATGTCCTGGCTGCGCACGACATCGTCAAATTGCTGGGAAGTTGAAGTCCGGTCAAAATGTCAGCGCATTTGCTGCTGCATATACTCAGGACTTTGTTAAGCACATGCTGTTCATGCTAGTCCCCTGGTGTAAGCCAGAGGACATGGGTGCAGAAGTGCTCTTGTCCGAGTTGGATCTCCAGTGTCTGGCGGCTGAATCAGCCGCGCCTGCTGTTGAACCGGAGCAAGCGTTGGCACCGCCCAACTCTGACCAAGGTCCCGGTGTCTTGGACGCACGAGACGACGTAGTCAAGAAGGCACTGAAGCGACTCCACGTGAATCTTGGACACCCCAGCAACAAGGACCTGGTTAGAATTCTCAAGCATAGTCGTGCATCCGAGACAGCTATTCGTTTGGCTCAGGATTTCACCTGTGCTGTGTGTCAGAATCACGTGCAACCATCTAGTGCGCTGCCAGCCAAGAGTTCACGACACAGTGAATTCAACGAACGGGTTGGTCTGGACGTGAAGTACTTGCCAGGGTGGAAACCTAACCAGCAAGTACCCTGCATTAGCATTGTTGACTATGCCACTTCTCTTCAGATTGTGGCCCCCATCTTTGAACGAGAATCAGCTGAGGTCCTCAAAGGGGTACTTCGAGACTCTTGGATTGCCTGGGCGGGACCCCCGCAACAGCTAGAAATGGATCCATCGAAACCCAATCTCAGCGAAGCACTAGGTCACTTCTGTGAAACCATGGGCATAGATCAGTTGTTCATCGCAGCAGACTCACATTGGCAATTAGGAAAGGTGGAACGACACGGCCATTGGTTCCAAAAGATCTTTGAACGAGTCCTTGATGACTGTCGTCCCAGTTCCCCCGAAGAGTTCGTGGATTGTGTGTTGCAAACGCAGTGCGCCAAAAACAGTCTCATTACAGAACATGGAGCCAGTCCGTATCAGTTGGTGTTTGGTAGGAACCCCCGGGTACCCACTGATTTGTTGCAAGAAGAACCACACCTGGCAGCGTCAGACTCAATCCTAGCGGACGCAGGAGTACAACGCTCCAATGCAGTGCGTCAAGCAGCGCGCATGGCTGTCCTGCAATGTCAAGACAGCAGAGCCTTTCGCGCCGCCCTGAGAGCTCGGCCTCGACCTCGCAAAGAACTCCAGTCTGGTGATTGGGTCTATTACTGGAGGACACAAAAGTGGGAACAAGGAAGCCTCATCCGAGGCGGTCGTTGGCATGGTGCAGGGATGCTCTTAGGACGTATTGGGATCAACTGGATAGTGGCTCACCGTCGCAGCTTGTTTCGTTGTTCCCCAGAACAAATTCGACCCGCAAGCCAAGAAGAACGGACAGTAGCAGAGTTCGATGCCGGAGAACTTCTTGGAATCAAAAATTTGCTGGAACGAGGACAGTTTCCTAAGGGACAGTTTGTTGATTTAGTGAACATGGACAACCCTCCGCAGGCTGAACAACTAGAGGCTTTTCATGGTACTCAGCATGTCGGACGCAGCGAGGACGAGCCTCTCACCGCAGCCGAGATTCGTGCCTCACAGCTGGAAACGTCAGGACCAACTGAGGTCGGGCATGAAGTTTCGAATTCGGAGCAACCTGTTTCTGGAACCGGAACTGCAGCCAGGCCAAGAACGGAGGACTACGGTCCCATCCGTCGGGTTCGACACACGGAGAAATCTCCTCCTCAATACCTCACTCGACCTGCTGTTATGGCCCAGGAAGACTTTGCCGAGATGATGGAAGAAGTCATCCCATCCCTGATCCAACAGCATCTTCAGGACAGTAACATGGAACCTGAACGCCCGACTAGTCCTAGAGGGGAGAGTTCAAAGCGTGAAGCCAGTTGGGAACCCCTTGAACAACCTGCACATCGACCGCGAATCGAGGTGAACGATGAGGTTTTGTTCACTGAGGTTTTGTTGGCTCAGGCTCGTGACATGCAAAATCAAACCGGACTGAGTGTGATCGACAGCTTAACTGCTGCCTTTCTTCAAAAAAGACAACAGAAAGAAATCAAAGCATGGGGTAATGAACCTGAACTGCAGCACCGCATTGACCTCTCGAAAGGTACTGAGTGGGAAACACTAGAAGGAAAAGATGCAGTGCGAGTGTGGAGAGGCGCCAAGGCGGCTGAAATTCGCGCCCGGCACCCTGATCGATTTATTGGAAGTCGCTTTGTGGTCGTGAACAAACATGACGAAGAAGGAGAACGCATCAAAAGTAGATGGTGTCTGCAGGGCCACTTGGACCCGGACTTTCATGAGAAAATCAGTTCAGGAGCGTGCCACAGCCCGACCATGCATCCCCTGTCTCGAGCCCTTCTCCTCCAAGTCATCGTAAGTAAGAAATGGGAGCTGCAGCTAGGTGACATCAAGGGGGCTTTTCTAGAGGCTGGGCCCATAGATAAGAAATATAGGCCACTCTTTGCTGAACAGCCACCTGGTGGCGTACCTGGCTTGGATCCCTCCGATGTGATCGAAGTGTTAGGCAACGTGTACGGATCCAATGACGCGCCTATGAACTGGTGGGGGACGTTCGATCAGGCAGCTAGAGAGACTTCCTTCGTTCGGTCACAGTTTGACAGTTGCATGTACATGTTGCGTGACAACCAAGGGCACTTGTGCGGAATTTTGGGTTCTCATGTCGACGACACGATCACTGCTGGGGAAGGACCAGTGTATGAAGCCGCAATTGCCAAATTGAAAGAAAGATTCCCATATCGCAAATGGCGACGGGGCAATGGGGAGTTTTGTGGGGTAGTGTACAACCAAGATCCAGTCTCTAAAGAAATCACCTTCAATCAGAAAGAATATGCCCAACACATGAGGCCCATTTGTTTGACCAAAGAGCGAGCTCGTCAAAAAGAATCCAATGCAACAGAGAAAGAGATCTCTGTTCTCAGGGCCGTCAATGGGGCTGCAAACTGGGTGAGTAGTCAGTCGAGACCGGACCTATGTGTTCAAACATCGTTCTCACAGCAATGTTTTCCCGATCCTAAGGTGAGTGATCTGCACTTTGCGAACCAACTAGTTCATCGTGCCAAGCAATATAGTGATGTCGAGATCACAGTCAAACACATACCGTGGGACTCGATCGAATTGTGTTTTCACTCGGATGCTGGATTCGGAAATGCTAAGGGCCATAGTACTCAGGCGGGATACATTGCTGCTTTTGTAGATGGCCAGCTGAAACAGAATCAGCCGAGTGTGTGGTCACCGTTCGCATGGAAGTCATATCGTTTGCCTCGCAAGGTAGCATGTACCTTAGGTGGAGAAGCGCAGGCCTTTTCAACTGCTAGTGCAGTGTGTGAATGGATGGCTCTCATGCTAGTGGAAGCCAAGCACGGTCCCTTTGATTTAAGAACAACTGGGCAGGTGAAAGACTTTCCACCTACGACGGGTGCAAAGACGCTGTTTAGAGATGAGATTGAAAGGGTCCCCATCACCGGCATCACCGATTGCAAATCTCTGTTTGACAACATCACTTCGGTGTCAGCCATTTCCAAACAAGACGACAAACGCATTGCCATAGACTTAGGTATCGTCAAACAGTCCATGCTCCGATGTGGCCTCACCATTCGGTGGTGTCCAACAGAACTGATGCTGGCTGATGGCTTGACCAAGGACTCTCAGGAAGCAGCTGACTTACTGAGGTCCGCTCTGGCCTTAGGTGAATACCAGCTTCATCCTGAAGCTCAAGTGCTTGCCCGCAAAAAAGAATTTCGAAACGAAAGACAAGCCAGAAGAGTCAGGCAAATGCAGTGGGAGGCAGAACAAAAAGAAAGAAAAACAGCACAAAGGGTCAGGGGAAAGGACATCGGTGAGAACACCTATGTCACATGTTTTTGTTTGGGGTAGCTTGTTCGCTGAACAAGCCAAGGTGCTGGGGCTGACAGACCTCGCTTGTTGATGTAGGACATGTGTCCGTTTGGTCGTGTCATTCGCTCCGGCCCTGTCATCTCACGGGAGTGCCGTTGAATGAGTGGGGGTAGACTCATACCAGGCAAGAGGCTTTTTTTCTTTTCGATCTGTTTGTGCAGTGTCGATGATGCAGTTTCACGCGAATTCGTTTCGTCCAAAGACACGGAAAGTCCAGACCTGCACTTTGGGAAGAGTTTTCACGGTTCAAGCAAAGCCGCTCGTGACTCGTTTTGTTTTGTGAAGCTTAGGTGCATCGCGAAATGGCATACCGCAGCAGTCATACTGAGGAACAGATTTCTCAGGAGACCTTTGAGGTCATCCAAGACCTCTTGCGTCGAGGTCAGCTGCAGAGTGTAGTGTCACGAGTTCAGGATGAGATTGATGCACAAGCTGATGCGTCTTGGGAACCCACGACGCATGGAGCCATGCATGATGGTTCGAAGCGCCGTTTGATCGCAGGAGAGAGCTCAGGTGACCATGGTTTTGAACTTGTGAGTGCCGCCTGTGTCCCTATGCCGTCTTCTTCACCAGGAATACATGGCCAGAACGCTGCGCCAATGAGTGTGAATGTGCAACACCCAATTCCTCCAATGCAAGACAAGGGAAAGCCGGCGGCAGTCGCGTTGCCTCCTGGCATCAGCTCCATTGCTGAGTGGGGCGCTACCATTTGCACACTTCCCAAGGTGAAGGGCCGCAAGATCCGCTACCAAGAGATGCTCGACGAAAGTCGTTCGTCTAAGGAGATGTCCGAGTATCTGCAGTGGATCAAGACCTCAGGCGTCAAGTCAGCCAAGGTCGACGACCTGAAGGCATTCATGAGTGCTGCTGGGTTCAATCCTGAAAGTGTGTCAGGTGGTCACATCACCTATCCTGGCACCACGATCCAGCGCGAACTTTAGAGAGTGTTAGGCATGTGAAAGCGGACATGGCACGGACCTATAAGCCAGTCTCCGCAGGAACCCTTAGTGCTCGGAAGGCAGAAAAGGGCGCTGCTGATATGCCCCGGGTGGGGCCTCCGCAGCTACATAAATATATATACATACACATACAACTATATATGTTCATTACTTTGTGTGTGTTGTTTCCTTTATTTTTGTTGGGCGGAGTGGTTCAAAACGCCTGGGTTTGCGATGTTCAACTCGGTTTCGAGTCGAGGAGTGGTAGATTCGATAGCTTATGATTCCAGAGCTTACCTGCAAGACTATTCCCTCCACTGTAGCTGCAAAGCACACCACTTTCCTATGTTTTGCCTGCTCCCTCAAGGGGTCTTTTCTGGAGAACGTTTTATTGACACCGCACAACCCACATGACGTACTCAGGTTGGCTGTCCGCGGAAAAGGCCTTTTTTCTCACCCAGATGATCGACCTCCAGGCGTTCCCCACAGTCTTTGTGTTGAGCTATGGTGAGGTGGGGGCTCTCGCGCGAGGGTGAGGCAAAATTTTGTTTTGCTCCATTTTCACGACTTGGTTTTGCTTGCAGGTTCTCATGCAACACACTTCCGGGATGAACTGTATCAGCAGCTGTGCTAGGGTCGCGGTTTGTGCCCACAATCTTTCGCCAGCACCAAGGGATGTTGATGTTCGGATTGTTTTCGAACGAAACAGTTTGAGGTCACGCGACATCTGCCGCCTTCGCAGCTCTTCTGCTATTCTTCTGCCTCCTCCCCCTTGTTTCCCAAGCACTTCCGCAGCCTCTTGCACCGCAGCGGGGCCATTGAGCATGCGGAGGACAGTGAGAGTGGCAGTGATGCCGGTGAGTCTGATTGAAGAGGAGCCGCCTGATCCAGTTATCATCAGTTATCCAATTTTGATGCTTTGAAGCGAAATCTCTGGCACTGCACGCAGCTGTCCGGTGCCTTTGCGAGACCTGGCACGACTCGACTCGCATCAGCAAAAGGCTGCAGAACGAGCCCGAATGCGAAGCCGGTGCAGCCGAACGGGTGACCGTCCGGGGCGATGTTGAGCGTTGTTGATGTGCAAAGGCCAAGTCCTGAAAAGATCAAAGCCATCGAGGCCGGGACCGGGCGAGGTTGGGATGGGAAGAAACTACATGGCGATGTGCTCCTCTCCAGTTCGAGGTACTAGCATCTCCCCTTTCACACATTGAAGTTCAGTTCTTGTAAGGAGGGTTCTGACTGGAAGGCTGCATGGGAGGGTTTCAAAACTTGGAGCTGTCCCTTGTGCACTTGCCCTTCATCTGTATCCAGAAATGACTTGAAAGTGGATGCTTTCTTGGCTCCAGCTGGCTCGAAGAGGGAATTTTCCGGGAGCTCTTCACGAGTCGGCAGATTTAATCCTCCATGGCGGATGAAAAGAAGGAGGATCCCGAGCTGCAAGAACTGCAGCACATTCGTTTGCGCGCAGACGGACATGCGCGCAGAGGGAAGAAGCCGGTCCTTTCTCGGGTTTGGTCAACTGACATGAGTCCTTGGAATTGGAAAGGGTTTTTCGCCTCACGGAATCGTCTGTCACCCCGAACTGCCCTGCGGACGACCACAGCGTCTGTGTATTTCAAAGGGGGCCCCTCAGTTCGGTCTCCCCGTGGAAGAAGGGAAATAGATCCAAAACGCTTGGGCCAAGGCGGCCAAGGGTCCTCCCGGATCTGAAATTGCACACCCGCCCACCCACTTTTCATTGTGCTGCGTGTCGATCTTCGGGCTCCGCCTTCAGATCTGAGGAGAGCGTTTGGCAGAAGATCTTCGGGAAGTATGCCGAGGGCTTGACCACCGAGTACGTGGTCCGGGAAGTGTTGTTGGGGTTGACGATTTGCTTTGCACAGATCCCGGAATCCGTGGCCTTCGCATTTATGGCCACTCAGCTGACAAACACACAGACTGACAACCTGGTGCAGGCAGTGGACCTTGGCATGCTTTGGTCGTCTAAGAATGCCAGGTATGCAATAGTGGACCTTTCTTCATGCCAAGTGGTGGCTCTTGTGCTTGTACCCTACCAATCGTGTCCATGCAGGTTTGGCATTTTGCCACTTGTTGCCATTGGTCCAGTCCTGCACCAAGGAGGGAGTGGGCCACCTAGATATTCTAGATTTCTCCACGGCCCGTCTGACTCTTCACCCACCGCTCTCGAAGGGCGCTCTGCCCGTCCACCCGAGGCCAACATCAAGCCCCCCATCGCCCTGCATGCCGCGTGGATCGTCGGCTTCATCTGCAGCGCCTTTGGTGGACGCCCCGGCATGGTCAACGGCGCCACCGGCGCCTTCGCCGCCATTGTGGGGACCTTCATCCCGCCGGCGGGCACCGGCAACAATGGTGAAGGGGTGGAGCTGCTCTTCCCGTCAGTGGCCTGGCACAGACCCAGGAAGGGGCCATGTTGGACCAAAAAGTGACTTCTAGGTGATGTGCAATCAAGTTTAGGGAGAGGCAGGTACTGACCACAGCATTCTTGGATCCAGAATCTCAACCTTTCCTACCTCTTTTTGACCCTTTGCGCATGTTGCCCCGCTGTGCAGCCAGCTTGCGCTCCCCGTCCCATCTATGTATTCTCCCGTTTGACTGGATTCTTCAGCTCCCTACGGGCTTTCTTCCATTCTTCACCCGTGTTCATCCAGGTGGCATTTTCCAGCTTCCTGTCATTTCTCACCTATCACCTGCCGCATCCAGGTGATGCTGGCGGGCCTTTTGATGGTGGTGGTCTCAGTGACGAAGCTGAGTCGTTTCATCACCCTGCTGCCCTCGCCGGTGATGCTGGGCTTTTGCAACGGCTTGGCGATCGTGATCGGCCTCAGCCAGCTTCATCCCTTTGAGGATCCCAAGACTCATCACTGGAAGGAAGGCCGGACAAGGGTGGGGAGTCCTTGGACAGGTAGCCCATGAAAAGAGACAAGAGTTGGGACATATTGGCTCTTCTTTGATCCTACCCACCAGGTGGGGGCCATGCTAGTTTGGTGAAGGATCAGTCTCTATAGTCTATATTCTGGTGTTGTGGAATTCGTGGCTTGGCCCGACTCCCAACCGCGGCACCCGATGAGATGAGGCGCCGAGATGATTTGGATGCTAGTGATTTGCTTCACGGCCATGGGAGTCATGGAGCTCGTGCCCAAGTTGCCCTTCAAGATCTTCAAGGCGGACGGGTGGACCTAGGAACGAGGGGCATTACTACTTACTAGGAGCACAGGACGCTACGAACGGGCCTAGGGGCTCCTGGCCTCACCACGAACGTAGCGCTTCTAGCTACGAACGTCACAAGGGCATCGCTACGCACGACGGGACTCCCCTGGACCAAGAGACCATCCCACCACCACGAGCATCTGCATCACCATCCCCCCGACCCCAAACCAGCGGTGAAGCATCCGGGTTAAGCATAAGCAGCAAAAGCAGCTTGAGAAGCTTCGCCTGGCCAAGCGGGACATCAGCAGCTTTGGATGCTTTGGTTGGAGACGGAGGGTTTGGACATTTGCCGATGTCCTGTCTTGCTCCGTGAGGAACATGACTTGGTGAAACAATATGATATACCCGTTTTTATCCTTCGGCGAGGGCTCGGTTCGCCGAAGGATCCCGTTCTTCCCCCATGAAACCACGGAACGAACACCGGAGTTCCCCCAACCCTTTGCCACCCACCGGCCAGGTGATCCCCTCCTCCCTGCTGGCCATCATTTCTGCCATCGTCATCGAGTTCGCGCTGGTGCGCCTGGCGGAGCTTGAGTTTTCACCGGGGCGGGGGGTTGCGCGCGGTACGGTGCTAGGGCCGTGTGCGCTATGGGCCTAGGAGAGAGTTTCGGACATCGGGTTGGAAACCACGCGACGAGTCTCGACCGGTCTCACTAGGTCTCACGACCGGTGACCACTCCATCCACACCCCTCTCTGAGGGTGCCGCACGTGGACTGGGAGCTTTTTCGCACCTCTCAGGTGCGCAACACGGGCTCCCGCACCGCCACGATCCGCGACGTGAGCGAGTTCACCTTGGACACCGCTTTTCCGATCCCCTTCTTCGTGTCGACCGAAGCGGTGAGCTATGATTTGTCCAGCCTCTTAACGGGGGATGGGATCTCAAAGATCATCGTCCAGGAGAGGGGCGACCGGGGCGTCCAACACCGACGTGCGAACAGATGGGGAAGAGGGGGATGGAGAGGTCATAGATGTGATTGTGAGGGCATATAGTTATACATATATAACATATAGTATACAATTATACAAAGTAGTTGTTCTTTTCTGGGCATTTAGTTGGTCTCTTTCTTCTTTCTGTAGCCGGCCGCGCTGTCGTTCGCGGTATTCTTGCCAATAGAGCGTTCGCGTTTGTGTGGGTCATGTTCGGCCGCCTGAGGGGATCTTCCTCTGCATGGTGGGGTCCATTGAGTCCTTGATGACGGCCGAAGTGGTGGAGTCCTTTACCAAAGAACCGGGAAATGGCGACCGCACCGTGATGGCCATGGGCGCGGCGAATTTGCTCAGCGGATTTCTGGGTGGCATGGGAGGCCGGAAGCCCACCGGGGCCAGGGCGATCGCCACAGGGGGAGGCTCGTAGCCTGGCGATCGTCGCAGTTGCTAGATCACCACCCCCTTAGGCACTGAAAACAGGGGGGG